GCGCGCTCAGAGCCGGCGCGCTCAGAGCCGGCGCGCTCAGAGCCGGCGCGCTCAGATCCGGCGCGCTCAGATCCGGCGCGCTCAGAGCCGGCGCGCTCAGAGCCGGCGCGCTCAGAGCCGGCGCGCTCAGAGCCGGCGCGCTCAGAGCCGGCGCGCTCAGAGCCGGCGCGCTCAGAGCCGGCGCGCTCAGAGCCGGCGCGCTCAGAGCCGGCGCGCTCAGACCCGGCGCGCTCAGAGCCGGCGCGCTCAGAGCCGGCGCGCTCAGAGCCGGCGCGCTCAGAGCCGGCGCGCTCAGAGCCGGCGCGCTCAGAGCCGGCGCGCTCAGAGCCGGCGCGCTCAGAGCCGGCGCGCTCAGAGCCGGCGCGCTCAGAGCCGGCGCGCTCAGAGCCGGCGCGCTCAGAGCCGGCGCGCTCAGAGCCGGCACGCTCAGAGCCGGCGCGCTCAGAGCCGGCGCGCTCAGAGCCGGCGCGCTCAGAGCCGGCGCGCTCAGAGCCGGCGCGCTCAGAGCCGGCGCGCTCAGAGCCGGCGCGCTCAGAGCCGGCGCTCAGAGCCTCCGCTCAGAGCCGGCGCTCAGAGCCGGCGCTCGGAGCCTGCGCTCGGAGCCGGCGCTCGGAGCCGGCGCTCGGAGCCGGCGCTCGGAGCCGGCGCTCGGAGCCGGCGCTCGGAGCCGGCGCTCGGAGCCGGCGCTCGGAGCCGGCGCTCGGAGCCGGCGCTCAGAGCCGGCGCTCAGAGCCGGCGCTCAGAGCCGGCGCTCAGAGCCGGCGCTCAGAGCCGGCGCTCAGAGCCGGCGCTCAGAGCCGACGCTCAGAGCCGGCGCGAGCGGCCGGCGCGAGCGGCCGGCGCGAGCGGCCGGCGCGAGCGGCCGGGCGAGCGGCCGGGCGAGCGGCCGGGCGAGCGGCCGGGCGAGCGGCCGGGCGAGCGGCCGGGCGAGCGGCCGGGCGAGCGGTCGGGCGAGCGGCCGGGCGAGCGGCCGGGCGAGCGGACGGGCGAGCGGCCGGGCGAGCGGACGGGCGAGCGGCCGGGCGAGCGGCCGGGCGAGCGGCCGGGCGAGCGGCCGGCCGAGCCGGCGCTCAGAGCCGGCGCTCAGAGCCGGCGCTCAGAGCCGGCGCTCAGAGCCGGCGCTCAGAGCCGGCGCTCAGAGCCGGCGCTCAGAGCCGGCGAGCGGCTGGGCGAGCGGCCAGGCGAGCGGCCGGCCGAGCGGCCGGGCGAGCGGCCGGGCGAGCGGCCGGGCGAGCCGGCGCTCAGAGCCGGCGCTCAGAGCCGGCGCTCAGAGCCGGCGCTCAGAGCCGGCGAGCGGCCGGGCGAGCGGCCGGGCGAGCGGCCGGGCGAGCGGCCGGGCGAGCGGCCGGGCGAGCGGCCGGGCGAGCGGCCGGGCGAGCGGCCGGGCGAGCGGCCGGGCGAGCGGCCGGGCGAGCGGCCGGGCGAGCCGGCGCTCAGAGCCGGCGCTCAGAGCCGGCGCTCAGAGCCGGCGCTCGGAGCCGGCGCTCGGAGCCGGCGCTCAGAGCCAGCGCTCAGAGCCGGCGCTCAGAGCCGGCGCTCAGAGCCGGCGCTCAGAGCCGGCGCTCAGAGCCGGCGCTCAGAGCCGGCGCTCAGAGCCGGCGCTCAGAGCCGGCGCTCAGAGCCGGCGAGCGGCCGGGCGAGCGGCCGGGCGAGCGGCCGGGCGAGCGGCCGGGCGAGCGGCCGGGCGAGCCGGCGCTCAGAGCCGGCGCTCAGAGCCGGCGCTCAGAGCCGGCGCTCAGAGCCGGCGCTCAGAGCCGGCGCTCAGAGGCGGCGCTCAGAGCCGGCGAGCGGCCGGGCGAGCGGCCGGGCGAGCGGCCGGGCGAGCGGCCGGGCGAGCCGGCGCTCAGAGCCGGCGCTCAGAGCCGGCGCTCGGAGCCGGCGCTCGGAGCCGGCGCTCGGAGCCGGCGCTCAGAGCCGGCGCTCAGAGCCGGCGCTCAGAGCCGGCGCTCAGAGCCGGCGCTCAGAGCCGGCGCTCAGAGCCGGCGCTCAGAGCCGGCGCTCAGAGCCGGCGCTCAGAGCCGGCGCTCAGAGCCGGCGCTCAAAGCCGGCGCTCAGAGCCGGCGCTCAGAGCCGGCGAGCGGCCGGGCGAGCGGCCGGGCGAGCGGCCGGACGAGCGGCCGGGCGAGCGGCCGGGCGAGCGGCCGGGCGAGCGGCCGGGCGAGCGGCCGGGCGAGCGGCCGGGCGAGCGGCCGGGCGAGCGGCCGGGCGAGCGGCCGGGCGAGCGGCCGGGCGAGCGGCCGGGCGAGCCGGCGCTCAGAGCCGGCGCTCAGAGCCGGCGCTCAGAGCCGGCGCTCAGAGCCGGCGCTCAGAGCCGGCGCTAAGAGCCGGCGCTCAGAGCCGGCGCTCAGAGGCGGCGCTCAGAGCCGGCGAGCGGCCGGGCGAGCAGCCGGGCGAGCGGCCGGGCGAGCGGCCGGGCGAGCGGCCGGGCGAGCGGCCGGGCGAGCGGCCGGGCGAGCGGCCGGGCGAGCGGCCGGGCGAGCCGGCGCTCGGAGCCGGCGCTCGAAGCCGGCGCTCCGAGCCGGCGCTCAGAGCCGGCGCTCAGAGCCGGCGCTCAGAGCCGGCGCTCAGAGCCGGCGCTCATAGCCGGCGCTCAGAGCCGGCGCTCAGAGCAGGCGCTCAGAGCCGGCGCTCAGAGCCGGCGCTCAGAGCCGGCGCTCAGAGCCGGCGCTCAGAGCCGGCGCTCAGAGCCGGCGCTCAGAGCCGGCGCTCAGAGCCGGCGAGCGGCCGGGCGAGCGGCCGGGCGAGCGGCCGGGCGAGCCGGCGCTCAGAGCCGGCGCTCAGAGCCGGCGCTCAGAGCCGGCGCTCAGAGGCGGCGCTCAGAGCCGGCGAGCGGCCGGGCGAGCGGCCGGGCGAGCGGCCGGGCGAGCGGCCGGGCGAGCGGCCGGGTGAGCGGCCGGGCGAGCGGCCGGGCGAGCGGCCGGGCGAGCGGCCGGGCGAGCGGCCGGGCGAGCGGCCGGGCGAGCGGCCGGGCGAGCGGCCGCTCGCCCGGCGCTCAGAGCCGGCGCTCAGAGCCGGCGCTCAGAGCCGGCGCTCAGAGCCGGCGCTCAGAGCCGGCGCTCAGAGCCGGCGCTCAGAGCCGGCGCTCAGAGCCGGCGCTCAGAGCCGGCGCTCAGAGCCGGCGCTCAGAGCCAGGGAGTAGTACAATACCGGGAGGTGACACGGCCACACATTCAGGCGGGCGAGCTTTGCCTCAGGTCACTTTTCTGTGGAGCGCTGTGTCCCGGGAAACGTCACGAAATATCGTACTTCGCGCGCTGTGTCCCGGGAAACGTCACGAAATATCGTACTTCGCGTACCATTTATCGTAGCATTTCGTAGCATTTTTCAAAAAAATTCATAGAACGACTTGAAGAGAGTGGCAGAATGCTGTCAAGAAGTTTTCGAGCAGTACTTTTTGAAGTTTGTTTTGACGATGTAGGGAACGAATCCATCAGTCTTTGCTGAGTGATGAGGATGAATCCTACGAAGGATATCAAGTAGCAGCTGGCCTTCGCACGGGTACCTTCAGTGTGTCCAGTATTTACGTGGGCGGCTTGTAAGAGTGAAATTTTCTTCCTAATTTAATTTGTATTACATTTAGTTATTCACGTCGTTTCTAGGGGAATAGATAATGTTGACTCAAGTTTTAGTCACAATGAACAACATGTTTCAGGTATGGCTGACCCGTCTCAAGATAGTAAGGCTATTCCGAATCCAGATGCTATAGTCGTCAGAGAGAAACACAAAATAAAATAAATTTTATACTGCAGGGGCAGCTATTCGCAAATGTCACTATGACGCAAGTCTGTGTCAAGGGTGTGAACGTGATGTATGGAATCGAGCATGAGTACGAGGACGAAAGTGCGGAATCGGAGCCCGACGCGCGCTAGCGCGGAGGGCTCCGATTCTAGCACTTGAGTCCGAGTACGAATGCTTTGATACCATTTCTGACATGCATTGCACGAACTACTTCGTACTACTAGTACTACTACATGTAGTACTTCACACATGTCAGCTAAAAACCAGGTCAGTTCAGCTTCTCTTCTTCGCAGTGACTACAGCCTACAGCCTACAGGTGCAGGTGAACATTGCAGTTTGCACCAAACTGAGCTCCGGAAAAGTTGATGGTCTTCGTAGCTTTCTGCATCAGAGACCGTTGGTGAGTTGGGGATTGCACTGTTGGGTCACAAGTTGCGATGTACTCATCAATGTCGGGATCGTGGAACTCAGTCTGCTGCTGTGATCGCTGAACGCTCGTTGTTGGCGCTGTAAGAGCACGGGTAGCAGCATTGGTTGCAGTTGGAGACTCTCCATCCAGAACTGCAGCCATCTCTTTTCTCTTTTGTTCTGAATTCCTGTTGGCATATGCGGTCAACGACTGGACCTGGCGATGTCCCGTCGTCCCCATGATCGCTGTCTCCGACACGCCCGCATCCACAAGCTTCTGCACTGCTGTTGCGCGGACACAATGATTTGTGTAGGATCTCGAGAGGTTGGCTTTGTTGGAGATCCTTTTCATCATAGCCTTTATGGTGTTCTTACCCAGCGGTAAACCATTGAAGGCTTGCGTTCCGGGCTTTACAGAGCGAGATGCCATCTGAAACAGTCTCTCGCTCTTCGGGCTGAGAGACTCCAGCAACAGCTTTACGGCATGGACTTGCTCTGGCTGCTGGATGCGACCGTCGCTTGGTTTATCACGGCTCGCAATCCCGCCTTGATGGTTCTTAGTACAGAAATCCGTTGCCAGTTCCACAAAATCGCGGCCGTCATCATCCTTCTTCAGGATCAGGTCCTTCTTGGTCATCGTTTCCTGGTTCTCACAGCAAAAAAAAGCGGCCTCTGATGGCTGAATCGGAGCACGCCTAGGCGTGCTCCGATTCAATCGGAGCACGCCTGGGCGTGCTCCGATTGGAAAATCGGAGACCTGCAAGCGCTCACAGGTCTTCAGTGGCTGATTCAAAGCACGGCAAGTCGCGCTAGGATTCGCTGTTGCCATGTCGATTGTCATGTGACATGTCAGAAAGTATCGTTCTTCTCTGCTGTTGAGAAATCATTTCCAGCTTGCGGCTGTCCATGTTCTTCATGTGACGATGGACAAGAGGCTGTATGAATCAGAACAAACATAAAACCACACAGGCTTCATCGATATGTCTGTGTTGTGCTTTTGTTTTGCTGCAGGTTTTATCAAACAAGTCAGATGCGATCTGCGGATAAGATATTTCATTTACGTACACTGTGCAGATTTATAAGCCTAGTTGGTGTGCATGAAGAGCATTGAAATTGTTCTGGTGTGTGCGTGTTTGGCCGTTGCTTTTTTGGGCGTACTTTCATGTAATTGGATCTGTTTTTCCTCCATCAGCTTATTGTCATATAAGCATATAAAGCATGGGCTTACTTGGCTATTATTGAATGACTGTACTCTGCTGTCTGACTTACGGGTAGCACTTGTTGGTGAAGAGATTGTCATACACGATGCGCTGTTATTCGCAGCAGGCAGTGACTTCTGATGACGTGTTCTGTGCAGTAGATGGCATACCAAAAAGAGATAAGCCATGTTATATCCGACGTCCACCTTACACATATGGTAGAACTGTGCAACTAACCTTGTCAGATGAGAGTATTTATCATCGTCTATACAAGGATGATCTTCGTCAATGGGGTGCGCTGTAGAACACGCATGAAAACAAATACAACCCCAAAACGTAGTTTCAGTATTGCTTCAGTGTCATATTTATAATCAACAATGTTGTATTGCAGAATTATACCCTTCTCATGATTGCTATTGCTCAACACGCTAGGACTGCATAAGTACACACCAACATCCCCAAAACAAAATGCATTGAAACCACTTGAAACCACTTGAAACCACTTGAAACCACTCCTGCTATATAATTTGTTTACTTTTTGGGTGAGGAGCAATTGGCGTTGGGCAGGCAGACTTCGCAGCCGCACCCAAGTCGTCGCTCTTCCTCTTCTGTCCACGGGTTCTGGGGGTTAAAAAAGCAACAAAGCAAGCAGGCCTGGCCTCATTCAGTGCTGAAAACAAGTGATCTTGAACATTATGTTCAAGTCTATACAAATTAATAAGTTTCAAAATTTTCAGAATGAGTTTTACAAAGAGTTACATAAGCTAACACGTTGAGATGAAGTAGAATGGTAGACAAATAGGTATACTTTCGAAATATCCCAACTTGGTGAGGTGTCCGAGTGGGTCCAAATGAGAAATTCAGGTTCGTGTTACACCATGTCAAGATGAGAAAATTCCATCACGTTACTTACAAAGGATAAAGTCCTCCATATTCGTCACTTCCATCCATTTTGGGAAGTCGAGACTTGGCAGCAGTGTGGACGATGTACCAGAGTAGCTCCCAAAAAAGGCTCGAGCTGAAAAGAACAAGTGGCAGCTTGTCACGAAGGGATACGTCTGGTCTTCTCGTCACTATTTGAAGGTTTCTCAGCGCTGTCAAAAGAGCAAAAATTTGAATTTTCGCGCGGTTTGTATTTTTTTTGTGAGGCAAAGCTCGTAATCCCGGATGTGTGGCCGTGTCACCTCCCGGTATTGTACTACTCCCTGCTCAGAGCCGGCGCTCAGAGCCGGCGCTCAGAGCCGGCGCTCAGAGCCGGCGCTCAGAGCCGGCGCTCAGAGCCGGCGCTTAGAGCCGGCGCCCAGAGCCGGCGCCCAGAGCCGGCGCCCAGAGCCGGCGCTCAGAGCCGGCCCTCAGAGCCGGCGCTCAGAGCCGGCGCTCAGAGCCGGCGCTCAGAGCCGGCGCTCAGAGCCGGCGCTCAGAGCCGGCGCTCAGAGCCGGCGCTCAGAGCCGGCGCTCAGAGCCGGCGCTCAGAGCCGGCGCTCAGAGCCGGCGCTCAGAGCCGGCGCTTAGAGCGGGCGAGCGGCCGGGCGAGCGGCCGGGCGAGCGGCCGGGCGAGCGGCCGGGCGAGCGGCCGGGCGAGCGGCTGGGCCAGCGGCCGGGCGAGCGGCCGGGCGAGCGGCCGGGCGAGCGGCCGCGCGAGCGGCCGGGCGAGCCGGCGCTCAGAGCCGGCGCTCAGAAGCCGGCGCTCAGAGCCGGCGCTTAGAGCCGGCGCTCAGAGCCGGCGCTCAGAGCCGGCGCTCAGAGCCGGCGCTCAGAGCCGGCGCTCAGAGCCGGCGCTCAGAGCCGGCGCTCGGAGCCGGCGCTCGGAGCCGGCGCTGGGAGCCGGTGCTCAGAGCCGGCGCTCAGAGCCGGCGCTCAGAGCCGGCGCTCAGAGCCGGCGCTCAGAGCCGGCGCTCAGAGCCGGCGCTCAGAGCCGGCGCTCAGAGCCGGCGCTCAGAGCCGGCGCTCAGAGCCGGCGCTCATAGCCGGCGCTCAGAGCCGGCGCTCAGAGCCGGCGAGCGGCCGGGCGAGCGGCCGGGCGAGCGGCCGGGCGAGCGGCCGGGCGAGCGGCCGGGCGAGCGGCCGGGCGAGCGGCCGGGCGAGCGGCCGGGCGAGCGGCCGGGCGAGCCGGCGCTCAGAGCCGGCGCTCAGAGCCGGCGCTCAGAGCCGGCGCTCAGAGCCGGCGCTCAGAGCCGGCGCTCAGAGCCGGCGCTCAGAGCCGGCGCTCAGAGCCGGCGCTCAGAGCCGGCGCTCAGAGCCGGCGCTCAGAGCCGGCGCTAAGAGCCGGCGCTGAGAGCCGGCGCTGAGAGCCGGCGCTCAGAGCCGGCGCTCAGAGCCGGCGCTCAGAGCCGGCGCTCAGAGCCGGCGCTCAGACCCGGCGCTCAGAGCCGGCGCTCAGAGCCGGCGCTCAGAACCGGCGCTCAGAGCCGGCGCTCAGAGCCGGCTCTCAGAGCCGGCGCTCAGAGCCGGCGCTCAGAGCCGGCGCTCAGAGCCGGCGCTCAGAGCCGGCGCTCAGAGCCGGCGCTCAGAGCCGGCGCTCAGAGCCGGCGCTCAGAGCCGGCGCTCAGAGCCGGCGCTCAGAGCCGGCGCTCAGAGCCGGCGCTCAGAGCCGGCGCTCAGAGCCGGCGCTCAGAGCCGGCGAGCGGCCGGGCGAGCGGGCGGGCGAGCGGCCGGGCGAGCGGCCGGGCGAGCGGCCGGGCGAGCGGGCGGGCGAGCGGCCGGGCGAGCGGCCGGGCGAGCGGCCGGGCGAGCGGCCGGGCGAGCGGCCGGGCGAGCGGCCGGGCGAGCGGCCGGGCGAGCGGCCGGAAGAGCGGCCGGGCGAGCGGCCGGGCGAACCGGCGCTCAGAGCCGGCGCTCAGAGCCGGCGCTCGGAGCCGGCGCTCGGAGCCGGCGCTCCGAGCCGGCGCTCAGAGCCGACGCTCAGAGCCGGCGCTCAGAGCCGGCGCTCAGAGCCGGCGCTCAGAGCCGGCGCTCAGAGCCGGCGCTCAGAGCAGGCGCTCAGAGCCGGCGCTCAGAGCCGGCGCTCAGAGCCGGCGCTCAGAGCCGGCGCTCAGAGCCGGCGCTCAGAGCCGGCGAGCGGCCGGGCGAGCGGCCGGGCGAGCGGCCGGGCTAACGGCCGGGCGAGCGGCCGGGCGAGCGGCCGGGCGAGCCGGCGCTCAGAGCCGGCGCTCAGAGCCGGCGCTCAGAGCCGGCGCTCAGAGCCGGCGCTCAAAGCCGGCGCTCAGAGGCGGCGCTCAGAGCCGGCGCCCAGAGCCGGCGCCCAGAGCCGGCGCCCAGAGCCGGCGCTCAGAGCCGGCCCTCAGAGCCGGCGCTCAGAGCCGGCGCTCAGAGCCGGCGCTCAGAGCCGGCGCTCAGAGCCGGCGCTCAGAGCCGGCGCTCAGAGCCGGCGCTCAGAGCCGGCGCTCAGAGCCGGCGCTCAGAGCCGGCGCTCAGAGCCGGCGCTCAGAGGCGGCGCTCAGAGCCGGCGCTCAGAGCCGGCGCTCAGAGCCGGCGCTCAGAGCCGGCGCTCAAAGCCGGCGCTCAGAGCCCGCGCTCAGAGCCGGCGCTCAGAGCCGGCGCTCAGAGCCGGCGCTCAGAGCCGGCGCTCAGAGCCGGCGCTCAGAGCCGGCGCTCAGAGCCGGCGCTCAGAGCCGGCGCTCAGAGCCGGCGAGCGGCCGGGCGAGCGGCCGGGCGAGCGGCCGGGCGAGCGGCCGGGCGAGCGGCCGGGCGAGCGGCCGGGCGAGCGGCCGGGCGAGCGGCCGGGCGAGCGGCCGGGCGAGCGGCCGGGCGAGCGGCCGGGCGAGCGGCCGGGCGAGCCGGCGCTCAGAGCCGGCGCTCAGAGCCGGCGAGCGGCCGGGCGAGCGGCCGGGCGAGCGGCCGGGCGAGCGGCCGGGCGAGCGGCCGGGCGAGCGGCCGGGCGAGCGGCCGGGCGAGCGGCCGGGCGAGCGGCCGGGCGAGCGGCCGGGCGAGCCGGCGCTCAGAGCCGGCGCTCAGAGCCGGCGCTCAGAGCCGGCGCTCGGAGCCGGCGCTCGGAGCCGGCGCTCGGAGCCGGCGCTCAGAGCCGGCGCTCAGAGCCGGCGCTCAGAGCCGGCGCTCAGAGCCGGCGCTCAGAGCCGGAGCTCAGAGCCGGCGCTCAGAGCCGGCGCTCAGAGCCGGCGCTCAGAGCCGGCGAGCGGCCGGGCGAGCGGCCGGGCGAGCGGCCGGGCGAGCGGCCGGGCGAGCGGCCGGGCGAGCGGCCGGGCGAGCGGCCGGGCGAGCGGCCGGGCGAGCGGCCGGGCGAGCGGCCGGGCGAGCGGCCGGGCGAGCGGCCGGGCGAGCGGCTGGGCGAGCCGGCGCTCAGAGCCGGCGCTCAGAGCCGGCGCTCAGAGCCGGCGCTCAGAGCCGGCGCTCCGAGCCGGCGCTCGGAGCCTGCGCTCAGAGCCTGCGCTCAGAGCCGGCGCTCAGAGCCGGCGCTCAGAGCCGGCGCTCAGAGCCGGCGCTCAGAGCCGGCGCTCAAAGCCGGCGCTCAGAGCCCGCGCTCAGAGCCGGCGCTCAGAGCCGGCGCTCAGAGCCGGCGCTCAGAGCCGGCGCTCAGAGCCGGCGCTCAGAGCCGGCGCTCAGAGCCGGCGCTCAGAGCCGGCGCTCAGAGCCGGCGCTCAAAGCCGGCGCTCAGAGCCGGCGCTCAGAGCCGGCGAGCGGCCGGGCGAGCGGCCGGGCGAGCGGCCGGGCGAGCGGCCGGGCGAGCGGCCGGGCGAGCGGCCGGGCGAGCGGCCGGGCGAGCGGCCGGGCGAGCGGCCGGGCGAGCGGCCGGGCGAGCGGCCGGGCGAGCGGCCGGGCGAGCGGCCGGGCGAGCGGCCGGGCGAGCCGGCGCTCAGAGCCGGCGCTCAGAGCCGGCGCTCAGAGCCGGCGCTCAGAGCCGGCGCTCAGAGCCGGCGCTCAGAGCCGGCGCTCAGAGCCGGCGCTCAGAGCCGGCGCTCAGAGCCGGCGCTCAGAGCCGGCGCTCAGAGCCGGCGCTCAGAGCCGGCGCTCAGAGCCGGCGCTCAGAGCCGGCGCTCAGAGCCGGCGCTCAGAGCCGGCGCTCAGAGCCGGCGCTCAGAGCCGGCGCTCAGAGCCGGCGCTCAGAGCCGGCGCTCAGAGCCGGCGCTCAGAGCCGGCGCTCAGAGCCGGCGCTCAGAGCCGGCGCTCAGAGCCGGCGCTCAGAGCCGGCGCTCAGAGCCGGCGCTCAGAGCCGGCGCTCAGAGCCGGCGCTCAGAGCCGGCGCTCAGAGCCGGCGCTCAGAGCCGGCGCTCAGAGCCGGCGCTCAGAGCCGGCGAGCGGCCGGGCGAGCGGCCGGGCGAGCGGCCGGGCGAGCGGCCGGGCGAGCGGCCGGGCGAGCGGCCGGGCGAGCGGCCGGGCGAGCGGCCGGGCGAGCCGGCGCTCAGAGCCGGCGCTCAGAGCCGGCGCTCAGAGCCGGCGCTCAGAGCCGGCGCTCCGAGCCGGCGCTCCGAGCCTGCGCTCAGAGCCTGCGCTCAGAGCCGGCGCTCAGAGCCGACGCTCAGAGCCGGCGCTCAGAGCCGGCGCTCAGAGCCGGCGCTCAGAGCCGGCGCTCAGAGCCGGCGCTCAGAGCCGGCGCTCAGAGCCGGCGCTCAGAGCCGGCGCTCAGAGCCGGCGCTCAGAGCCGGCGCTCAGAGCCGGCGCTCAGAGCCGGCGAGCGGCCGGGCGAGCGGCCGGGCGAGCGGCCGGGCGAGCGGCCGGGCGAGCGGCCGGGCGAGCGGCCGGGCGAGCGGCCGGGCGAGCGGCCGGGCGAGCGGCCGGGCGAGCCGGCGCTCAGAGCCGGCGCTCAGAGCCGGCGCTCAGAGCCGGCGCTCAGAGCCGGCGCTCAGAGCCGGCGCTCAGAGCCGGCGCTCAGAGCCGGCGCTCAGAGCCGGCGCTCAGAGCCGGCGCTCAGAGCCGGCGCTGAGAGCCGGCGCTC